TTTGCCTACAAAATCCTCACACGGAAATCGGAGCCCAGCCTCAAACAAGTCGCAAACACACAACAACTTCGTAAGGCTCCGGGCATGGCACCTCTTCTTGTCCCGGAGCACGGCATAAGCCACGAAGCGTAGATTTTAGAAGCCCTTGCTCAACGTATTTGTCGAGATCTGCCTCTGTAACGCGGGATCGACCTATCCGATACATAACAGGTGTTAAAGCAGGCTGGCCCTAGACGACGGCTGGCACTGGCCCATCGCTTTCGCCTTCCTCACCCTCCTCCATGATCTCGACATCGACAACAGTCTCCTCGTCGGCCTCAACACGCAAAGGGCCCCGGACGCTCTCGGCATGAAGTGTTGATGCCGCGTTATTGTCCAGAGTATTCCGCGTTTGAGCTTCCATTCTTTCAGGCATGCCTTGTGAACTAGTGCGGGATTCCGATCTAGAACTGTTAGATGAACTCCCGCTGGGCGAACTGGCGCCAGACGTCGACTCACTTGACATCTATCCAAGCGAATTCCATACCAAAACCCAGAAATAGAAAATAGTAAATAGGCAAAAAAAGCGAATATGAACTTGCAAAAAGGATCGGCGAAGGCTGGAGTCTTGGCCGAAGCGAGCAAGAAAACGAAAACCCGAGTGAAGAGATGAAGGGCGAAAGCGTAGCTCTCAAATAAGGGTTGAAGGTGAGACAAGCGTGCACGGGTCCATTGGCTCGGCAGGGGTTTATATAGGCACTTACTAGGCCTGGCGCACGAATCGAGGAAACAACACGATGGTTCGTTTAATCGCCGCGACGGTTCGAATTTTGAGAAACAATTATACGGCACGATAACCGAAAAACGGTTACACGCCTATTAAAAAATAATAATATATATAACAATATAATAATAATAATAAAATAATAATAATACTAAAAATAATAATTATTATCACCTCAACACTAATAATTATAACAAAAATAAATACACGCACATATACGTGTATAGCAACAGCACAAACCTCCACCCTTCACCTGGGACGGCGTTTGAGCCCCACCGCGAGACAGTCCCATAAATTCACGAGGCAAACGCTCTCGGATCGAGGGCCTCCTCGTACATTTCCGAGGGGCTAATGTTGGGGGCGTGCCCCGCCTATGGGCACCTTGTGTGGCTCGAACGCCGTCCCGGCTTCTCGTGGAAGCAAAATAACGGGAGTTGGGCTCTGGCGCACTGGGCATTTCGCTATCATAAAAGGCGAGAGGGCTGACCATGTGTGAAGAGAAGGATGTGTCGAGCCCCCTTCTCCCGCAGCGAAGTAAGGGCAGCGCTTGTCGTCCCATTCTTAGATTTCCCTTCTCCCTATAGCGAAAGGGTGGACTCTACGGCCAGGATCAGGTTCCGCCAAGGCGAATAGCTGTTAATGGTTTGGTCGACCGTTTCTGCAGGTTTCGCCAATGGAGGGCGCACAGGCGGTCTCGGCTATTCGCTCAGGCGAATAGCTGTTAATGGTTTGCTCGATTGTTTCTGCAGGTTCCGCCAAAGGAGGGCGCGTAGGCGGTCTCGGCTATTCGCTCAGGCGAATAGCTGTTAATGGTTTGGTTGATAGTTTCTGCAGGTTTCGCCAAAGGAGTAATCGCCCGCCTTCGCACAGCCGATAGCTTCTGTCGCCAGGGGCCCCCGCAGTCGGTTGGACAGGCGACATAAGGCGGAGCCAGTCGGGCCTCCCCGGGCCGGTGTTATCCAAGGAAGGCGGGCACTCCAAATGACGAACAAGCCCAAAGTTGCGCGCAATATTCTTTGAATTTATAGTAGTTGAGAGGGCATTTACTTCCTATGAGAAACCTATGGGTATGTATAAATAGCCCCCGTTGAGGGACTAGCAAGGGGGAAACAAGTTCAATAAAATCGATCGTTTTGTTTCCCTCGAGTCTCGCTTTGTCTATTTCTCATGCTTGATTTCACTTGAGCGGCAACCGGTGTTCGAAGGCCTTGGCCTAGAACAACAAGATCTCTTTCCCTACAATTTTCAAGAATATCTCAAAATATACCTCTTCTTCCCTAAAGAATGGAGACATCAGGACCTCTATCTATGGTCCCACACTGAACTATCGTACAACAGCTAGTGTACAGGCCATTGTATGCCCACGACTGCAACTATGCCCCAGACCGCCGATCGCCTGCGACATGCATCAAACGCTTCCTCGCGCCAGCTGCGCCTCACACCACTAGTCGCTTTGCACCCATGGCCATGCCTCACCATCGCACCGCCATGTGCCTACAGCTGTGCCTCGCACCACTGGCCACCATGTGCCTATAGCCACACCTCGCACCACCAGCCATCGTGTCCTGAATCAGCGGTGAAAATGATTTTCACAACCGGTTCAAGAAAAAATCAATTGTGAAAAATCGGAGCAGGTTGTGCTGTGTTCACTTCCCTCTCCCACGGTGTGTTTTCTCTAGCATCCATGTGCTTTTTATTGCTAGCTGACATGCGGGGTCATCCACCAACATGTCGCCAGACGAATAGACACGTGGGAATCACGCGGATTGTCGTAGCCACAAACCCCCTCTCCTCTATCCTCAGTGGCTCAGTGTGTTCTCTAACCTATATGTCTCCTCTCTCTCTTTTCACCTTTCTCTCCCTGCCTGAGAAAGCTCCTCTCCCTCTCCTCAACCTCCTAGGGGGCGACGGAAACCTGGGCGTGTAGCTGGGCATGGCAACTCGGTATGTAAAAAAACCAAATAGTATACACCAGTTCCTAGTGACGCGAAAACAAAATACGTCTCTAATATGTAATTACAGGCGTGTCTTACCAAAACGCGTCTGTGATATGTTGTTAAAATGCGTCTGTGATGTAAATGCTTACTCATAGATGCGTGAAACAAATCCATGTCACAAGGTACTATAGCGCAAAGCCGAAAAAATGGTTAACTCCGGCATACGGCGTGACTCTTCACATCCTCCCAAAGACCCGAGACCGAAAGTCCCTAGGCTACCCCCCGATGAACCGAGACCCCAAGTCCCCTCCTCTCCTCTCTCGTCCCTTCTCTCTCGATCTGTCTCCCTTTCTCCCTCTCTGGTTGTTATCCACAAGCGGCGGTGGTGGTGGCACACACCCATGGCTCGATAAGCTCCTGCTCCACCGGCAGCACCCGGCGCAACATCACCACGACGTGGTGGCGGCGGCTGGACCCTGGTGGCCAGTGAGAGCACATCCATTTGGACTCTTGGTATTGGGGTGGTCGCCTAGTGGCCTAGTGTAGTGGCCGAGGGAGAGCGACACCTGTCACAGGTGGCATAGCGCGGTGGTGCCCCGGTGGGAGCACCCCGACGGCCTCTAGATCTCGACGCAATGAATCTTAGCAGTGGCCGCACCGTGGTGATGGCCCCCAGTGCGGTTGCTCCAGATCTCGGTGCGGCAGTGGCGGGCGACCAAGCCTTGCCGTGTTGGCATCTCGGTGCAAAGGCGGCCCTTGCACGCGACAGTGGTTTCCGCGGTGCTGACCCTTTGTCCCCGTTGTCACGAGTAGTTACGGAGGCCAGCGGTGATGTCAACTTATCACCACCCTGGGGTTACTCAAGCCAGTGGTGATATGAACTTACCACCACTGATTATCACCAATCAGGATAAAAACTGATGGTGATGAGGCTTCCTGATCTGACTGTGATGAACAATCTGTGTACTAGTTTATTAATACAATAGATAGATTCTGGAAAGGAGGGAGTAGTAGAGGGACTTTTTTCATATGCAAAGTGAAATTCAACTAGCTAAATGGGAACCAGCTAAACATGTCGAGGAGTAGTCATCTTTGACTTTTCTTTTTTTTGCGACTGTCGTCATCTTTGACTTCAAAATGAATGGTGGCACTCTAATCTCCTGGAGATGACTAGGAGAACAGCAAAACCCGATTCTTAAGCAAACGTCCATCTAGACCGATTGATCTTTGCGTCTAAACTTGACTAGTCCACGTGTGCATTGCCCTATATATACACACCAGATTACTACTACTACTAAAACCAGCAACTGGACGAGTAAATCACGGACGCCTCGGCGTACATGCACCGCCTGGTGCTGTGGCCAATTTAAAAAACGGCTGTACGCCGGGTATACAGGAATGGAGGGAGTAGCATGGTTTTAGTCATTTCCACATCCATGGTTGTTTGGAAATCTTGAAAATTTTGAATTTAAAAATATGAGAACTTCAAATAGAATTTGCTGCATCCAAATTATTTCTAATGAAACAGCTGTTAAATACAAAGTTGTATATCTCGAGATATACAGCTTTGATATAAGGATTGTCTTCATCCCACTTCATTTGAAAAAGTTATGAATTTTACTGTGTTACACCGATTTTTAGAAAAGACATAGATCTAGCCACCTATATTAATTCATTTGTAGAGGAGGTTACATCAAGAGCCGCGTCTAAAGATAAGGGCATTTGCAAAGGCGGCTCAAAATACCAACCGTCTCTACAAATGTATTTCTGGAGGCGGCTCTAGATGGAACCATTTTTAGATGCAGCTGTAGATTGAGCCGCCTTTACTTCGAAAAAGCCGTTGTTTCTATAAATCATAAAGGTAGCAGTGTAATATATATTTGAGTTGTTTTTGTCTTTTGTTCAATCATCGGCGGTCACTACACCACAACACCAAGATTAGCGATGGACGGTCTGACGCTAAAAGCGGCTACAGCGACAGACAATCTGACGTTAAAAAGTTATAGCGACAGACTTCTGCAGACACTGTAAGCCCTGTCGCTAAAAATCTTTAGCGTCAGACAGTCCATTGCCCTGAATTTTTTTAGCGACAAATATTCCATTGCTACTTTTTGGCGACAGATGCTCTGTTACAAGACATATACCAACAGATCATCCAATAATTCATGTATTTATAGCGACAAATTGTTCTACAGGACAATATAAATATATAAAAAAAATACAATGAGAAAATATGTAGCACATATCATACCCAGATTCAAGCTTAAGGTCCATCACATAAAGATATAAAAACACATACATCACATGGAGATCAATACATATATAACATACAATCTTGTCTTGCACGGTACATCATCCAACAAGGTCTTGCACAATACATCATTTGGATCTGATACACTTGTAGAACTAGTAATCAGACTAGATACAGGAGGGCAGTCGAAGGTACCAGAACAGCTTGGGCATGATAAACGCAGTGGCTCACAACCACGATATCTGTCATTAAAACACAAGAATATTTGAATAACTGAAATACTGCAACATTAACGAAATTGATATGTTAGAGGTTTACCTCTCATCTTCATCATTGATTACAGATAACAGCATCGTAGATGTATCTTGATTGCTAGACTCAGTCACTCTTGATTGGAACTGATCCAGGTAATAAGAATCAGCAAACTCTATATTGAAAGAAATGATGCCAATCATTTAAGATATCGAAGACTCAACAGAAAATACGCACCTTAGCCGAATCAAGTCCCAGACATTCAGCCAGACGAGCTGGACTAGTACCCTGAATGGAAGCACACAGACGAGAAACAATAGGATGAATCTGCAAAGGTAATTTAGAATCAGCAACACTATATATACTATAGCATATGGAAAGACAACTGTATTTTTCCAAGAAGGGAAAATGTATTGCAATGGTGAAGAACCTGTTGTGACAAACAATAGTCAATGTCAATCATCCACTTGTCAGGGTCTCTTTTTAACTCCTCGGGACGTCTAGCTCTCTGAGCTATTCCCACAGAATGTGTATTATCTGAGTCCTATACAGAATGGCAAGTACAGTTTAGGATCAGATAAATCAAGCTTCAAACAAAGCTAAACTAGGATGTTTTTCAGGCAAAAAATTATATATTTTCCTTTTTCCTGAATTTACACTGCAGGTAAACAAAGAGTTCTGACTACTCCCTCCGTTTATCCATATTCTTATCTTGTGAAGAAATGTTTCAAAATGTTAGTTCAGCAATAAAATCAAGATTGTGAGTGGTTGTAAAATGTGAATATCATTAGAGATATGTGTTGGTCTCTTTTTATAACTTTGATGAGATTTAGTGCTTTCTGGTCTGTATACATGATGAGCTTAGCCTTAGAGGCTTGGACAGATTGTGAAACAAGAGTACCAATCAGTGTCATATGACAGGTTGACAATCCAAAATTTTGCAATGTGGATAAGCAATTGATGATTTAGTGAGCATGCAAAACATAAAAGACATCATTTAGTAATACCTGCTGAGAGCAAATTATATAAGGGACTGTGTCACCAGCTGAGCAACCAGAGTAACCATTTTGCTTGAGTCTCAAAGCAACCTGAGGAACCAAGTTTACACATTTATTAGCTCATCACTTTTCTGGCTTGAAATCAGGACAAAACAAAACATGGATATGCAACTCTTACATGAACATGAGGCTGATTTTTAGCATCTGGATAATCTTCTGGCGCTTTTGTTAAGCTCTTTGTGATAACATGTGTTTTGAAGACCTTAATTTGAGTGAGTGAGTCTTAACTTCCTACCCATTTTGTTTTAATAAGAGCTGGATTGCATCGAATGGACTACAGTCTTTCAGATTTAATTGCGGCTATGTCACTTACTATTGTTGTGGTTTTCAACAAATAGTTGGAATGAAGAAGCTGCTAAACAGATTGGGGACTGCTACTGGTATTTAATTTTTCATTTTTCCAAGACTCTCGAAGAATTTGTGTCAAAGGATGGTGCTTCACCCGTGGCAATTGACTGTTTCAAGGAAACTGTAAGTACAAAGTTCATGACATACTAGAAACTAAGCGCGGCATTGCCGCGCGCTTGTCTGTGTTGGGCCAGTCCGCATGCGTGAGTGAGTTTATACCGAGACAATCAGTGTGGGATCAGCCCATTTGCTTGCATTACATCTTGATAGAAATGATTGTATACATATTGATGTAAATAATGTGTATAAGATGGTTCTATTTGTAGAAGAAATATAATCATGACAACTCTAAGTACGTGGCACTAAAGTTGAGAATGCAGTTGCTTAACTTGTTGCATAGATAGTGAAGCATATTGATTTATGTAAAAGGTACAGATATTGTTGGAGTAAGGAAAAACTAAAGCATTGATTCGAGGTGTGTCTATAACTGAGAAGAAGAAGGCGTGTCTATAACTGAGAAGAGAAGAATAAACGGAGTTTTCTTATGTAAAGGTATTGTACCGCTCTTTTCTAGGATTGCAAGTGCACTTGCTTGCTCACCAACAAGGACAACCGTAAAAAAATAGGGCTGATGCGCCTAATACCGAAATTTCAGATTTGCCAACATCCATCCTTGCTAGGGTGCATCACCGCTGACAACCTGAGGCTGTAAAACAATCTTCTCATATGTAAGGTGGACCTTAAGGTGGTAACAGAATCTTATATCACCTATAAGCAGAAACAAAGGAAATTATATTGGTGAGGTATTATTGATCACATTTGGACCGGTAGTGGGAAGAATAACTTGAGAAGAATATTATGAAATTCCATTATTGAAACTGGTCATGTTTTGCTAGGCTCATGTAAAATTATTTTTATGTATTTAAAAGGTTAAGATCCATGCTTAGTAAAAGCAAGAAAATTTTGGTACAGGACATGTAAAATGATGTCGAGTTAGTGGTGAATACAACAAAACACTCTGGCTTCAAGGTAAGTAGCGTTTGTTTCTGGACGTGCTTTGCCTTGCTTTGCTGACACGGGAAAGCGATAACCTTGCCCAGGCAAGCAAATTCATCGCCTTAATTTCAGTCCGTAAATGCTAAATGTTTTGCCACCTAACCTCATTTGGTCAGCACAAGTTAAGATCCTGGCAATAAACATAATAACATTGCACGTAACAGTGCTGCCAAGGAATGTCTTCCAATATATCCTAACCATTTGAGTAGCAATTGCAAGACCATTAGATCATGCTTGAATAAAACTATGTTTATGTGCATTAGAGAAAAATAGCAGTATTCTTTTAACATAAGGGAGAGAGGGAGCGAGCAAGAGAGACACTTTACAGAGGCAAAGGCAAGAAATCATTACCTTTCATAGATGATGAGAACATGTGTATAACATGTGGCATACTGACATGTGATGGGAATTGCAGTGGTTGTAACATATACACATCTAGGTTTCATCAGATGTTCAGGATTACAATGGTAAGCCACTGTCAGCATTGAAGACGTTGCTCGTACTCTAAAAAGTAATAGTTCCTTCATGTAACATCAATCTTAACAGTTAACTGAAAAGCATTACAAACAATAGACAGTAGTGCACCTTAGACTTGTTGCAGATTAATTTATTTTTACTGTTAAGTTTTAAGACATGTTTTGCTCTGAGATGCCCATAATCAGATGAAAATGCACAAAGATCACACCTTTTATTATTTTATAGGAACAATGATGCTTGTTCATCACATCCACTACTGAAATCTGATTTGGGGATTAAAAATATAAGGAAATAGAAAGAATCCAAATAGCTGAAGATACCTTCCGACCCAAGTCTGCACGCTCAAGCTTTGACAGTGACAGTCCAATTCCATGAACTTCCTTCACGTCTGGAATGTGAGATTAAAAGCATGTTTCAGTGCATTTGAGAAAAATAGCAGTATTGTTTTAACATGAGAGAGAGGGAGGGAGAGAGAGAGCGATTTAAAATTTATAATATAGGGTACTTCACACTTTGCAATGGTAAAGCTGAGAAATTATTAGCTTTCATTGATGATGAGAACGTTTATAACATGTGACGTACTGACATGTGATGGGACTTGCAGTGGTTCTAACATATAGGTATCAAGGTTTCATCAAATGTTCAGGAATCAAATGCTAAGTCATTGTTAGCATCGAAAACGTCACTCTTACTCTAAAAAGTAACAGTTCCTTCGGGTAGCATCAGGCATAATAGTGTAACTGAAAAAGCATCTACAAACAATAGGCAGTAGTGCACATAATATGGTGTGAACACACCATAATGTCATTATTTTGTATACCTGGCTGGATTGCCTTGCAATATATTATCAGTGTAGCTATGGTATGATGAAAATAAATTAAAATTATATTTTATTGTTGGCTGTGATTTGAGTGCGTGCCATGATTACCAGAGTTTAGGTCGACAGATGATGCTCCATGTTGAAACAGCTTGGTCCTATATGTGGCCACTCTGAACTCCTTCCGTGGTGCAGAGTCTACAAGTCAAATTGATTGGTAGCATTTCCTGCAGCACGAAGGAAAACCAATGGATATTTATGTACATGCATACTGAAGCTGGAAAGATAGCACCTGATGAGGTATACATAAGTAGCACAAAGGAATAGTTAGGTGACTGCAAGGCGCCAACCTGACGAAAAATTAGCAAGAAGAGCCCTTTTGGGCATTTCATCAAGCACTTGAAGGGCACAGAACACCAAAAGCAAAGGAACCATCAGATGGGGAGCTCACGGTGCATAGAGATGAAGGAGAAACAATCGAAGACACACCACAGAGGAAATGGCAGTGTACCTCGCCGTGGACGGTAGATCAGGGCACGGGTGTCATCCGCGCCACGTGGGGAGGTGCGACGGCGGGTCAGGCATGGGAGCGGCCCTGGGGTGGACACGATGGCGAGCGGAGGCATTGCGGGAGGGGCGATGGAGAGGCAGAGGGGACGGTGGAGGCAGAGGGAGGCACGAGGGAGAGAGGCAGGGAGAAGCTCGCTGCGTCTGCTGTGGCGGCGGAGGAAGGGCAGCGCGGCGTCGCGGCATGTGTCCGAGCGGCCCTGTTTTGCCATGGCAGCGTGGGGGGCTAGGGTAGATGAGGCCGAGACGACGGAGCTGCAGCGCCAGGTCGGGGGGCACCGGTCGGGGGCCGTATACGCCGTGTCCGTGCCTACCGGGACCCGCTGGTGAGGGAGAGGGTGGGACGACCATCGCCAGGGGCCGACCGTGGACGACGTCCCTCCTCGGTGTCGTCAGGGAGCCCCAGCACGACGCACAAGATTTGGAGGAGCATGAGGGGGAGAGGAGGTCACCGTCGGTGAGGGGAGGAGAGCTCGACGTCGTTGGTGAGGGCGAGGGGGAAGATCCGGCGAGATTTGGGGCTGGCCAGGCGGGCGCCATTTGGGAGAGGGAGAGGGCGGCGGCACGCGGGCAGGTTGGGCGCTTCTGGATTTGGGATTTGAGCTAGGGTTTCTGTACTCATGGGCCAGGCCAATATTTGCCCGCGAGATGAATGTAAACGGGCACGCGAGCTGAATATGCGTGTGAGGGTGGGGCCCATTTATTTTTGGCGATAGACAGATTGACAGTATACCTCATTTTAGCGTCGGATAGTTAAACGTTAAATATGAGTACCTATGGCGACAGACAGCAAATCGCTAAATGAGGATTTAGCGTCAGATTGTCTGTGAGTTATCTTTAGCGTCAGCTCATCCATCAATAAAAAAAAGTTTTAGCGTCAGATGTCTGATGGTGATACGGTGTTGTGGTGTAGTGGGTTGCTAGGAAAGTTCACGTGCCTCGTGCCTATTCGGACTGCCCAACTAACTACTCATCCTCATGTGATTACCTGTTTATGTCATGTCATATGTTGTTTGTATATGTTGCATATTTTCTTTAACATGTACCATGTCTCTATATATTCCATCTATCTCCTATAAATGCACATCTCGTATATCGAGAGATCAAACTTTTTTAACAGAGGCAGTCAATTTTCAGAGGCAGACATCTTAAGATGCCCGTCTCTAGAAATGGCTATTAAAAGAGATACCATTCCAAGCACTCGTGTATAAAAACTAATTGTCAGAGGCGGGCATCTTACCATACTTGTGTCTAAAAATAGTTTCGTCTAAAAACAATGCATAACTTTTTCGTATGAATTTGGATGAGGACAAACTTTATATCAAAATTCTTGCTCTCGACATGATCTACAACTTTGTAGTTGAAAGATTTTTTATTTGAACTTGTTTTAGACACTACAAATATTGTTTAAAGTTCATGGATTTTGAAATTTGAAAATTTCAATCTACCTGAGATGTTGACAAGGTGTACACAAAAGTTGTTCTCAATACAATATAGAACGTTGTATTGGAAACTTTTTTTTATTTGAAGTCGTTTAGAGTCTCAAATATGTGTTTTAAGTTAATAGTTTTTGAAATTATAAATTTAGAATTTCCAAATAACCTTGAATGTTTACAAACTTAATACCAAAGTAGTAGTGACCACCTGGTATATATGTTCGTTGTTGGTAAGTTTTTAACTTGAAATTTTTAGTTTCCCAAATAATTTTTTTAATTCATATATTTTGATATTTAATTTTTTTTATTTTTTCAAACAATCTCCGACGCAGATACATTCTATACTAAATTAAGTCAAAGTGCTTAACAATATTTAAGACTATGTATTTAAAACTTTTTTTGTTTGAGTTCATTTAGTATCAAAATATTGAATACAATATTACAAAAAATTGATATAAAATGATAGCAGCCTATATATATAGTCAAAATTGAATTGCGGTGTAATAGTAGGGAGGTGTTATGGATGAGAAAATGGTTTTGGGTTCAAATCCTCAAAGATGTTGTAAGGGACCGTGACGTCTAAGAGGGGGGTGAATTAGGCAACTTAAAACTCTTACTCTAAACTATGGCCTCTAATTCCACCTAGTCAAAACATATGCAAAAGATAAACTATCTAAATGTGCAACTACGGTTTTGCTAGTGTGTTGCTATCTCTACCGTAAAAAGGAGTTATGCAACCTAGATTCCAAACCTATCAACTAGCCTATCACTAAGCTAGGAAAGTAAAGCACAAACCAAGATTGCAATGTAAATACGGAAGCTAAAGAGTAAGGTAGAGATATGCAAACTCCAGTCAACGGCTCCGGCATTTTTATTGAGGTATCGAGAAGCGCGCAAGCTTCACCCTAGTCCTCATTGGAGCCCCTCGTAAGGAATCCCTCGTAAGGGCCAAGCTCCCGGTTGGGTAACTCCGTGGATAGCCCTGGGCCTTGCCCACGCGCGAGTGGGTCTCTGGTGTGCCTTCCGGCAAGCCTCTCCCAGGCTGCTCCCCGCCGTCTTCACTACCAAGCTTCCGGCCGCACCACAGCGGGCCTTGTTCCCTTCGGTACACGGTGGCGGCCACACCACAAACGCGGTTGGTGTGATCTCATAAGACTACAAGCCCCTCCAATGTACAACAATGGTGAACGCAAGCACTGAGTGGTAAGAGATGTGCAAACCTCACTAAACACTAGGCCTAAACCTAGAGCAAGCGCACAAGCGGTGGTCTAACTAACCTAAGCACTTCGCAAAAGCACCTACGCTAATCACCTAATGTATCACTAAGCACTATGCAAGTGGAGATCACTAAAATGGTGTATCAACACCCTTGGTATATTTTCTCAGCTCTCTATAACTCAAATGGGCAGTTGGGGGTCTATTTATAAGTCACATGGAGAAAGTAGTCGTTGGGGACGAAACCTAGCTTTCTGCCATTGACCGGACGCTGCTGTCGTCTTGACCGGACGCGCCCAGTTGTCCCGACCGTAGAGCGCGCGTGTAGAGATCGGACGCACTGCCGAGTCCGGTCATCATCGATCGGATGCGTCCGGTCGTATTTGCGCCGCTCTGGAACCTCTCTGGACATGATCGGACGCTGCACTTTGTGCGTCCGGTCCTCACTGAGTTGTTGCCGCGACGATGAACAGTGAAGTCCATGCATCCAGTCACTGCCTCGCTCAGCGTCCGGCCACTGCTGCGGACGCCTGCTGTTGCCGAGCAACTGATCGGCCGCGTCTGGTCCTCATAGGGCCGCGTCCGGTCACCTCTGTGGAGCTCATTTCTTCATGATCTTGCGTCCGGCTTGGTTCCTATCTTCATGTTTGGACTTTGCTTGATATCTTGGATCTTCTCTTGTGTTTCTAGGGTCTTGCTTATGGTGTTGATCATGGGATCATCATGTCGCCTTCGTCCAAGTCATATCTTGAACCCTATTAAACTACAAAACAATTACTTGCAAATTCATTAGTCCAATTTGGTTATGTTGGTCATCAAACACCAAAATCCAAAGTAAATGGACCTAGGATCCATTTTTCTTACAGATGCTAAATATAGATAATTTTGAGGTTTCTATTTGACCAATCCACTTGAAGTAGCCCATACATCACTTTGATCATTAATACATGCAAGATGTTGAGTGGCCATTTGGTGCCACAATTTGACCATCCAGATGGAATCCACTTTTGCTAAAGAGAAGATGGAATCCATTTAAGGGACTCAAGAAATACCTTAATTGATATACTAATTAATGATAGTTCACATCAAAAATGAGAAAAAAAAAAAACCATCCGGACTAAACTAAACCAATATTACTGCTAGAAGATCATATAAAAATAAAAAGCCACAAGATCATCAATTTTGATTGCATTTATTTCTGTGTTTCTTGCCTGCTACAAACGACAATACTATAGAAAGGATTCGTAGGAACGCCTCCTCTTTTTTTTGTAGGGGGCTCTATGTTGAGCCGGCCCTACAAATGGTTCCTAAACGAGCTGCCCATACAAATCTATTTGTATGGGCTACTGGTGTTATCAGCCGCCCCTACAAATGGTCATATTTGTAGCGGGGGCCTCCCCGTATTTGCCAGGTTGTCATACTGGTTGAATGACCGGTGGGGACCTCCCTGGATTAAAAAATTTCCTATTCTTTTGGCCCTGATTTCAGAATTTTTGAACGAATTTGTATGGTCGGCTTTATATCCAGCCGCCCCTACAAATCGTGCACCGCCCCTACAAATACGATTTGTAGGGACGGCTAGCTAAACGCCCCTATAAATCAGTAATTTGTAGCCACGCTTCCGAAGGGACGGCTGGCCAAACCATCCCTACAAATAGCCATGAATCGCCCCCTACAAATGATATATGTAGTAGTGAGAGTAGCCCCTATAAATAAAGGGTGAGTTGGGTAATTTCACTTTGTTCTTATAACTATACAGTGGCCAAGCTCTTGCTGCCCTTTTTATTCTTAGAAAAAAGATCTTGTACCGTTGGTACAGTTTTGCTATGCACAATGTTATAGCATGATAAATACGTTGCATACACGTTGTGCTTGCCCATGACATACACATCAACAAACAACCACATCAAATATGTTCTTATTATGGGTACCAAATACATCCAAATCGACATAGCACAATGGAAACACTGATTATCACCAATCAGGATAAAAACTGATGGTGATGAGGCTTCCTGATCTGACTGTGATGAACAATCTGTGTACTAGTGCATTAATACAATAGATAGATTCTATAAAGGAGGGAGTAGTAGAGGGGCTTTTTTCATATGCAAAGTGAAATTCAACTAGCTAAATGGGAACCAGCTAAACATGTCGAGTAGTAGTCATCTTTGATCAGGCCATTAATTAATTATCCTCTACCATGAAATTGGAATGGAGTTTGCATGAAAGGTAGCGGATGAAATATTAAATGTTGCTAATTGTTTTATTTGAAATTGTTTATTTGAACCAATTAATTTATATTTTAAAATATTTATGCATTAATAGTCAATTAATTAACTATCCTCTACTACGATGGTGCGTGTCTCAGGTATATACAATTATTCTCGAGTAATATTCTTTCTTTGGTTATTTTGTTTCTATAAGATGGACTACAGGAACTCTTGGATGTATGGTTCGTTAAGACACGATGCTCTTTTCCGTAATGAGGTGGACAAATTCATCAAAGCCGCAGAGAAGCATGCAGCGACGTTGAAAGAGAATAGCGACACGATTATTTGTCC